GGATATTTATCAATAAACTGACCGTTGTAAATCCAACGTGAGTTTTATCTCGCGTATTTAGCGGGAATAAAAATGGAATCGGGAATCGCGATCTTGACGATTCGCGCGCGCATGACCCTTTGAAAGAGACGAACGCTTACCCTGATCAGCGATGATAGGACCAGCGACGTTTAGAATTGGCGCGCCGACCTGCAGATCTTCTGAAATTCTAGCAACAGGATTGGCCAGCAGTAGCCGAGGAGGTCCGTTCGTCTGTCCAGAAGCCAGCGTCAAAATCAGCCTGAGAGTGGACTTGCGCGGTGGGGAACCGTGATCGTTGGCCGTAATCTCGAGCTCGGTCGACCTCACCATAGGCCTCTCCAGGCTCACTATACCGGACTCGTAACCCACCGAGAATCTCGCCTCCTCGTTCGCCGATGTAATCACGTACGATACACGGCCATTGTCACCTGCGTCTTTATCCACGGCGACCACTCTCACGAGCGTCGCCCCTGCAACGATGCCAATTTACGATAATGCTGCTTTGTAATTGAACTGCTCGTCTCTCCGCGCAGAGATGCTCGGGATTCTCAGAGCCTTTGAGATTCAATTAAAAAAAGAAAAAAAAAATTAAACAATCAGAGTTGATAAAAGTGTCACTCACCTGGCAATAGGTCCGGCGTGATCGCGACTTTGGTCGATTCCGGCGCGACGAAAACCGGGTCGTTGTCGTTCTGGTCGAGCACGACGATTCTCGCGGTCACGGTCGAAGCTAATTGCTCACCGGGAGGAGCGCGGTCCGACGCCTTGAGGATCAGCGTGTATTCGGCTCTTTCCTCCCTGTCGAGAGGCCTGGCCAACGTGAGAGCGCCGGTCAACGAGTCGACCGCGAAACTGCCTCTCGATGGAAACTCGGCCACCAAACCGTATCGAAGATCGCCGTTCAAACCGCTGTCCAAATCGACGGCCGTCAAGTTGTATATGGTGGAGCCGATTACCGCCCTCTCCGACACGCGAACGGTTATCGGATCCTGCGGCCATCGGGGTGCATTGTCGTTGGCGTCCTCGATCACGATCTTCACCGAGACAGCGATGCTCTGGGGGTTGCCGATCGACGTGGTGTCCAACGCGCGTATCTCCAAGTGATACTCGCTGACATTCTCGCGGTCGAGGGAATGAGCGACCACCAATTGGCCGGAGCTACGATCGACGTCGAATGCTGGAAACTCACTGACGGGTGTCAGCGAATCCAAGGTGAAGGCCACGCGACCCGCTGGTCCCGCACCCGACACCGATCCCACAGCTTGCCCGATGCTGGCGTCTTCGCGCACCTAAACAAACCGAACGGTGACGATTTTTTCCACAATGAACAGGATCTTGAAAGTCGGAGGAAAACAATCGAGTAGTTTCGATTCCGATTTAAAGGCACTCCGTTAAAATTTATTCCCCCGAAAATTAAGGTTTTCAACCGAATGATCGCTCGGATGTGAACGCGTGCTTCCATCCCGCGGGATACGAGTGTTCGATAAATCATGCGAAAAATTCGAACGATCGGACCACGGTGAACGAAAGTTGCGCAGCAGTGACGGCGAGGTCGATGATACTCACGTTAAAGGTAAGGCTGCTGCTGGTGAAGGTCGGCCGGTTATCCGCCAGCGCTAGAACCTCGACTCTCAACGCGCGCACGCTGTGCCGCGGTGGTCGGCCAGCGTCCGTCGCCTTTACGGACACCCGGTATACATTCCGCTCCTCGTGATCGAGAACCGCCTTCGTTCTGATCATGCCGGTGATTGGGTCAATGGTGAAAACGTTGTAACCATCCGAGTCTCGGTCTGCGGAGATCAAGGTTAGTCGTGAGAGTGAGATAATCGACGTTCGTTTGAAAAACTCGGGAACGCGATCGCGCCGACGGGAACGAGTAACGTTGAAATACTACGAATATTCGAGCTTGTTGAGCACGTATACTGACTCGAAACCGAAACGTGTTAGAACTGATTCGTGAATGTTGCTGAGAAAATTGACTGCCAATCCTACCAGCGAGATTCTACAAACGTAACTAGTGTTCATGTTCGTCTTTAAGAACGTGCACAATTAACGGTAACTAATTTTTTTATGCGCGCTTTTTTCTGATTTCTCTCTCTCTCTCTGTTTTTCTTTTTCTTTATTTTCGCGGATCATGAAACACGTTTCGAGTCGATACGTGGGCTTCGTTCGTTCGACTCTGACGTCATTACCTTTCAGAATCGTGTAGGTCACAGACGCGTTTTCACCAAGATCGGTGTCCAAAGCTCTGACACGCGCCACTTCCGTCCCCGGCGGTTGTTCCTCCCTGACACTGACCACATCTCCCTGTGGGTCCACGATTTCTGGCGAATTGTCATTCACGTCCAACACTGTAACCTTCAGGGGTACCCTGGCCGCTCTCGACGGGGTTCCTTGATCTCGAGCTTCGAGAACCAGCTCGTGCACGATCTTAATTTCCCGATCGAGTGGCTCTCTCGTGGCAATCTCGCCTGAAAATTACCAACGAAATCATTCGTATCTCCTTTCTTTCAAATTTCCGCAATTCCTCTTTACTGTTGCATTCCTCGATTAATTTCTCCGAGTGAACGTTCGAGAACGTCTACGACTTGTATTTAGCTCGATTCATCGAGCCGATTAGTAGCTACAATGGAGCAATGAGTATCTCGAGATCGGCACACGTGGGAAAATCGTGCAAGGGAGATGGAATTTCACCATAAATATTCTCGGCGTAAAATTCGCGGTACGCATATGGGACGTACGATCACCGGCATCGCGCGAGGAAACCGACCTTATCAATTTCCCCGGATGGGGACGGTTAATTGGATAATCGCTGTTCGTACGCACCGTTCGAACGCTTGAATTCCTTGCTCGCGTCTCGACACCTTGCTATCGTATTTCCGTCCTCCTCTCGCATATTATAATTGTACCACGAATGCGTATACAGTCGTGCGGATGCGTGTAACGAGCCCCGCTGTAATTACGTATCTCGCAGTGCAGATGGCCCGCAAAAGTCACGAAGAGTACAGGGGGGCTGCGAGAGAAAAAGGAGGAGGAGAAGAAGATGAAGAAAAAGAAGAAGAAGGAGGAACAAGAGATGAAGAGAAAGAAGAAGGAAAAGGAGGAGAAGGAGGTAAAGACGCGAAAGAAAAAAAGAAAAGAAAAAAAAAGAAGAAACGTGAGAAGAAGTAGAAAGAGAGAGAGTCGGAGCTGTCTTCTCTGGACCGGTCGGCGCATTAATGGGTAATTAAGCAAGCGCCTAGCCGACCGGGCAGAACTATTCCGAGACGTGGAAAGGGATCGGGATAATAATTCGTATACAGGATCGAGGGAGAGGCTTCGGTGGGACACACGAGACACCCGGCGTGCCTCGACGAATTCTCGACGTACCTAGTCGAATCGGACGCGTCCACCGCGCGTCTACCGGCACCGACCAGAAACCCCGTCTCGACGTTGCCGTGTGTGCTCGTCGTTCGGAAGACAAACGATCGACGAGGAACATGCAAACGCGCCGGCATCGAGGGATACCATCGCGGAACAATAAGAAGTATATCGTAGGACGCGTGCTAATGCGTTTCTCGTGTTAACCGTGGGACCGTGCGACGAGTTTCTTCGTTCCCTTCATCACGAGGATGAGCCTGCGGGACTCTCTCTCTCTCTCTCTCTTTCTCTCTTTCACTCTTTCAGTTTCACGGCGTTTCTTCCAATATTTGGAAATCCATGCTGCGCCCTAGGCCGTGTTAGGAAAACTCGTCCCGCGTCGCACCGCCGCGCGATCAATAGAGGAAAGCCTGCGGAACGAAGTTCGCGGGAACGCACGCGTTCGCTGGGAACCGGTCGATGCCGATATCGCGCCTGTTTCGCCCGTTTCGACTTTCCACTCGAAGTTCGCGGCGCGTCGTCGTCGGTAGTACAGCGAGCAGAATCTTCGGCAAACCCGAAGATGGTTAATATAGAAGTACCGGTACGATGGGACAACTGATACTTCCGGCAGCGAAAGGCAGGAGATTATTTTTATTTCTGCGTGGCGAAGGCTCGCGCTTCGAACGACCGGAGAGAAGAGAGCGTTCCCTTCCTCGGTAAACAGGCAAGCGACTTCTCAACTTCGGTTGGATACCGAAAGCCAGAGACCGGAGGAGAACCAGCCTGGTCTCGAACCGGAGTGTACACAAATACTCCCGTGTCGCATGCCAATCAAAGCACGTATGCGCGTAGCATACGAGAGGCAGCGTACGTGCGTGCGTGCGTGCGTGGTTTCGCGGTATGCGCTGAACCCGGCCACTTTCCGGTGATTCGTTACACGTCGGCAAGGTGAAAGCACCGCTCTTACGGGATTACACTTTGATATCCACGAAGCGGGGAGCAAGGAGAAAGGGATGTTACGAAAAACGAAATAATCGCGCCACTGTTCGTATCCCTGATAATTCCGTTGTACGGTTCTCCAATTAAAGGCATTCGTATCAAAAGTAAATTTACGCTCGCCCGTTTCTTTTTCTTCCACCTCCGGCCGCTATAAATCTCGAACGCGCGCCAATGCCGGCGTGGAGAGACGCGCGTCCGCCAGAACGAACGACAAGAGCAGCTTCGTACGGCGTGCCGTGTGGAAACCGATTTCATTAACCGTTTTCGTGGACTTACGAAACCCCGAAGATCTATCGCGCCGTTTCTCTCGGCCGCTGTTGCGCAATCACGCACGACAATGGCACGCAACATCACAAGGGCTCGTTGCCTCAGTCGACGAACGTTAGAGCGACGCGTGAATTAAACAGCGTCGACGGCTGACGGCTATTTAGAAAATTAATCGCTTCTTTCACCCTTTCCGTCTCTCGGCTTTCTCAGCGCTCGCTTCGAATTCAATACGAATTCAAACGAGTAGCTAAAGAGCTGAAGATACGGCGCGCTCTCGTAAATTCCTCTCCCGCGCGTGTACCACTCTACGAAAGAGAAAGAAAAAAAGAAAAGAAAAGAAAAAAAAAAAGAACATCGTGCGGCAAATCCGGACCGCGCGCGTGTTCCAACGACGCTCGATGCCCAGAGGTTTCGAGATTCGAACGGCAAAGAGGATTTGCTAATATTTTTCTGGACGGATCGAGGGACTCGTGGGATCCCTTTAGCTGGTCGTGCCTACAGTTGCAGTGATTGCCTGCCAGCTTTCGTAAACACTCGAGCGTTTCACGTTTCGACGAGAAAACACGTAGCCCGCAGTTGTCGTCGGTCGCGGCAAACAGAAGAAGAGACAAAGAAAAAAGCAGGGAGAAAGGGAAGAAGAAAAATCTTACCTGTGTCGGGGTCGACGGTGAAACTGCTGTTTGCCTGGACCACCGCGTACCTGAGCAGGGCGTTCTTGCCGAGATCGGGATCGGAGGCGCTCACGGAGCCGACCAGCGTGCCCGAGGGCAGGTTCTCCAGCAGCTCGAATCCATAAAACTCCTTCTCGAAACGGGGATCGTTGTCGTTGTCGTCGAGCACCGTGACTAGCACGGAAGCGCTCGCGGTCGCGGCCGGGGAACCGTTGTCGGTCGCCAGGACCGTCAGCGCGTGCCGATCCAGGGTCTCGCGATCGAGGATCTGCGCGAGATAAATCCAGCCGGTGTTGGGACTGATCCGGAAGGCTGTCGATCCTTGAAGGCGGTAACTCAGCCGCGCGTTATTCCCCGTGTCGAGGTCCACCGCGGTCACTTGAAGAATCTGTGAAAACACGTCTGTCTTACGAGCCATGCTGTTTTTTTTTTTTTTTTTACGTTGTAGTTCACTCTTCTGGACACGAGGGGGGAAACAAGTGGAAGAATTGCTCGATACTTTCTCTTGTGCCCTCTAAGAGAAGGTGGGAGAAGGGAAGAAATCTGAATTTCTGCAACGTAAATGTTTCTCGAGGAGACGGAAAAAAGCAGAGATCGGTCAAAGAGAAATCGATGAAAAAGAAAACGGCGCGGAGACAAGACCAGCCGATCCGGTCATTCCTTATTAATTAAACGCATCCGAAGACCGCGAAAAACATTCGAACCGGTCGATATTTTCCAGCGCGGGAGGATCGTGAATTACGAAGGTCGGAGGAGACGAAGAGGAAGAAGAAGGAGAAGAAGAAGCATAGGATCGAGGGTATATAACTTCGTATCCCGTGCACGAAGTTGGCGCACGGGCAATGATGGATGGCGAACCACGAGGTAAGGCGACGAGCGGGATGAGCGGAGGGACGAAAGGACGCGGATAGAAAGGATCGCGGTCCTTGTCTTCGTGAAGAAAGAAGGACGAAACGGTGGCAGCGGACAGAGGGAGGAAGAGTAGAGATCGGCCATCATTAGAAGGAGAATCTGACGTGGGAGCAGGCAGTAATGTGTCTAACTGTACGTTATTAGTTCGCGGCGGGTGAAGGGTTACGCTCACTGTAGCCAGGTTACTCTTGCTAGCTGCTACTTCTCCCCGCTGTCTCCCCAACGTTTCATTCCCTCCTTGTCCTTCTACCGGTCGCTGCTGAGATATTGTCTGGATACCACCGACAGCTCACAGATCTGTTTCGCCGATAGATACCACCGATATATACGTGTACACCGCCGGGAGAAAGATACAACGAGTGGCGAAGGAAGAAAGAAAAAGGAAAAGAGGAACGTGCGCGCGGTTCTTCTCCTTCTCTTCCTTCTCCTCCTCGTCGTCGTCGTCGTCGTCGTCTCCGTTCTATCGTACCCTCCGTGTATCCGTTGTATTAAAAATGTGACGTCATTTAACGGGCCTATCTCGCTGCAACGATCTCTCGGCCATTCGTCATCGGTATCCTCGTATTCGGGATTACGTCCACCGTTGTGGCTACCAGCGCGAGGATTTGTTGTTTGTCGCTCGTTTCATCGCTAAATATCGCTGCTCGAACGACGAACGCTTTCTCGTACACGCTAATAGCTAATAACTTTCTTTCTCAATTGTCTTCTACTTCGTCTTCTACTTAGTCTTCACATTTAGAAAAAAAAAAAAAAAAAAAAGAAAAGAAAAGAATTGCGCGTCTGA